CCCCAAAACCCCAAAACCCCAAAACCCCAAAATAATTAATTACCATTGACAAATAAAATGGACAAAAAGTCATTAAGCACTGTTGAGGTAAAAAGAATGATGAAGTTCGATCGTGAGGAGTTCTTTGGCAACCCAGTCCAGGTAACAAAGCCCTTATTACGCAATTAACATTGTAGAGTTTTGACTGTCCTCCTCCTAATTTCGATAAAATATCAGAGAGAGGATGGCTGTTATTGGCAAAAGCAATCGTCTCAGACTCTTCAGGCCTTGGAAAATACATAAACTATGCGAAAAAATGGAAGAAGAAGGAAGAAGAATGGAGTGCCAATGTCTTGTTCGGGAATGTGAAGGAATCCTTTTCGAGGAGGAAATATATTGGCTCCAAATAAAACAAAAGTCATTCATACCAAGAAGGCTAATTTAAGCACGACAGGCTCATTTAAGCCGTATGGGGTGGATTTATTTGTATAGGAATGAGAGTGAGAAATTTAATACAATCTCCGGAACTTTTCATGCTGGCAAGAAAAATAACCTCAACCAGAAATTGAAATAATGTTTCTGTGGTAAATACCCCCTTGAGGAGACAGGAAGCTTCAGAAGATCTTAACAGGTCCACTAAATATGTTGAAGCCCTTCATAATCAAAGTGTTGGAGGAGTGGTGCTCAATGAGCAAGACTTAGGTATTTTTTAATAATTTTACGCTCCTTGTTGCATGGGCGCATTTAAATAGAATTTTCTGAAACTTTTCATAGTTGTAGAACAAAGAAGACGGCCAAAGAGAAAGTTGTTAAAAAGAGTTATCAATACGAGTGGGCGCAAGATGATTCAAACTGCTGCTGATTCAAAGAGAACAAAAAGCAGACCTCTCAATAACACTCGTCAAAATGCTGCAGTTTCTAGTATCATCAGAAGGCGTAAAAGAGGCACAAAAGGATCTCAAAATCTCACTAATTATACAATTAATGCAAGAAATCCTTCTAAGAATAGGAAAGAGAACAAGCTCGTTAAACAGATAAAGGGATTTCAGTACATAAAGAACCAAAAGACCATTGATAAGACTAAGAGCCAGACTTCACTGGGCAAGAGTATCCGTTAGTGCCTAACTCTCTATAGAAAAGAGGAGCTACACAGAAGATTTCGGGGATGATCAGAAGAATATCATTGCAAGTTTGAACAAGCATATCGCCAATGCTCGAAAGAAGAGGATGAACCTTAAAACTAAAAATAATGCTGCAAGAACAAGGTAAGGCTTACCTCACAAGGAGAAGATGACTAGATCCTGCAATAGTTTCCAGCCGACCGGATCTGTAGTCCTACATTTGGGTGTCAATAATAACCTCATTTGCAGCTTTACGAGTTTAGATATTTTAGAAACAGAATTTGGGATTTTGACATTCTGTGTGGAAATTAATGAAAATTCAGCTATAAATAGATAATTGATAGAATTTGTTCAAAATAATAGGAATTTGGAAACTTATTAAGTGTTGTATAGTGCGAGAGTAAATGATTATTTAGATTTTTTAATAGAAAAATTAAAATAAATTTAGTAAGCCGATGGTGAAGCCAAATAAGACTTTGTTTTTAGTTAAATTTTGAATAATATCCTAGAGGAAAGAAAAATTCAACTTCAACTTCAGTTGGTTTCAGAATAAATAATTTGGATTAGTATAAATTGTTATAGTGCTTATTTTATCAATTTTGTATTTAACTTTCCTTTAGCCCTAAGATAATTTACGGAACATCAAGTCCAAACACCAAAACCATATTGGCAATAAGCAGCCCCAATGCAAAAAGAGCTGAGAAGGAATCAGGAGGAAAGATTAAAGAATTATAGCTCTACAAATATTAAAATCTGTGAATTAAATATTCAGTTTATGATAAATTTTTGGGGTTTTGGGGTTTTGGGGTTTTGGGGTTTTGGGGTTTTGGGG